CTGCTTACATGGCAAAGACATTATTAAATATATCTACAACAACAATTTTGACATACTTGCACAGAGTTCATTTTAAACAAAAATCAATCGATCAATATACGCATACACTAAAAATATACATATATAAATATGCAATAATAAACACTATTCCGAAAAATAATAACCATACACAATGGAAACTTTTAGCATTTCGCTTTCGGAAGAAAGAGAGGTGAAAATATCCAGTTACCAGGACAAAGAAAGACTGATAACCGCTTCTTTCTGGACGCATAAATCAGGTTTCAGGCGCTTGATGGAAATGGCTTCAGCAAACTTAAGAAGAATTGAGCTCTTTAGCCTATTGATAATTTTGAACGACTTTTCGACGTCCACCTGATGACCCGTGTCGAGGAGATGCCTGGCAATGGCACTGTTTAAAGCATTTATTCCCTTTATACGTAAGCTTTTTGGTACATATTCAGAAAATTGTAGATATGCATTTCTTTCTGTCCTTCCAATGTAACTGCTCCAGCAGATACATGTAAATTTGTATATACAGTTGGAGTTAACATGAGAAAGATATCTATCGATTTTTGATTGCACCAAAGAGCAAGTTATTCGATAGACGGGAACGAGTTTAGCTGCAAGATAGGCTGTAGCTAGTAACGTACTGAACCTTCTGTTGATCATTGCTGCAATGTTTTTACCTTTATAATCAAGCTGAATGTAGATTGGCTTTTCACCCACTGTGATTTGTTTTACATTTTTGACTTCAGATTTTCCATACTTGTTGATGAACTTTTGAGGATACCCATTTCTCTTCAATATCTTTTCAACGAAGTCAAACTCATTCTCTAGTTTCTCTATAGAGCATATTCTACTTGCTCTATAGTACAGGGTCTTGACTAGACCACGTTTAAAGCCATTTGGACAAAAGCTATTAAAATGTAAGTATTGTGCTTTCCATGTGGGCTTTCGATAAATTGACTTTTGAAGATTACGGTCTTCTAAGCGTTCCATGGAGATATCGAGGAAGTGAAACTTTTCGTCACTTTCATGTTCCATAGTAAACTCAATATTGGCGTGTGCAACATTGATATGATTTAAACAGTTGTTTCTAATTGTTATAAGAAGCGAAGATGCTGTAACCTTTGTCCTTTTTATGTAGAGTGAAAAGGTGAACATTTGTTGTTCTTGCTTTGTACAAGTTTATTAGTGAGAAGAACTGTATGAAAAATGTGATAGTTCGAGTTACTCTGGAACTTAATGGCCAGTGAGGATAAAGTCTATCGCGTGGTGTTTTCACCTATAGTATAGCGAACGTCACAAAAAGTATTCTAGTTGCGTAAAAAAGTTGATAGAACAGATTTAAAACAATGAAACGTAACATCTGATATGACTGTGCATACCTCTAGGCCTATAGTACAAGATCAACCACCTGAGGAAGTTCAAACGTCAACTGGGTATACAGTACTGGCAATGCTGTAGATAAGCTAAACTAGGGAAACTTTACTAAATGAAGTTTGCCTGGTGTTCGATAAACCAGTACTCTACGTATCTTGTAATTACTGATGACAAGAAGCAAATTAAAAAGGCTCTTATAAATAGTAAGTAATATGCTCTTTTGAGCAATATATTTGGATATAATAAGAAGTCAGGATAATTATGGAGAGACGGTGTAAGCAGAAGGTCCTAGGTTCGAATAGTAGTGTTGGGTGCGTACTACTGAAGAGTACCAAACTAGAACGGAAAAAAACAGCTGTCCAGTACTCCATGCAGGTTTTCCAATGGTTTTCTAACCGATGTCACCTCAAGATGAAATCCTGTAACATATATTTTGATATAGGCGAAAACTTAGAATCAAGCTCATCTTCAACCAAAAAGGTTTTGGAAGTGATTAAGGAGGTTAAAAATAGAGGTTCATTGACACAGATATCTAACTTCTTTCAATGTTTATATAAGTAAAGTTATGACAGTACTTGTTGTTGAGTTAAATGTGAAGGCACGAAAATAGATTTTATGTAAACTCTGTAATACTCTTAATCTATTTTCTGTTGTAAATGTAATAAGCTGTAGTAAAGAGGTAATAATATTTGAGGTGCATTTCATTCCGAACTTCATCTGATATACCAGTTTGACTGCTTCTGCGGAAGTAGTTACATTGAGCGTACAATTAAACTGATATGTAATCGGATTTCCAAAAAATATCCTGTATGGTTAAGCATGGAATAAACAAGATTCATTTGTGTCTCTGTTTTATCACACCTTATATATAATGAACATAAAGTTAATGTTAACAAAGCAATTAAAATCGCTTATTTCATTTCGACTAATATTAGTTTTGCTTTATCAGTTCGTCTCCTAAATACATTTGCAGACAGTTGAATCCATCTGAAGAAGCCAGACTTGTGTATTAAAAAGAAATTTGTGCAACCCGTTTTCCTTACTCTGACCATCGTCGTCACAATGATGCGAAGAGTTGACATTTCCTCCCTCCACCTAAGTCTTAATTATTTCATTAGTGCATTTCCGTCACAGCAGTAGAATACTCACTGACCACGAATAAAGTCTGGGGTTAGACCCCCGGTCGGCCCACTACTCTGCCTCACGAAGTCAGTAATAAGACTGGTAAAGAGGGAAAGTTGGGCATGAGACTAGCAACCCTATCCGGTAAAAATAAAACACCACTGCTACCGAAACTTGAAGCCTCTAGCGTGAAGCCCTATGTTCCATAGGGAAAGTAAGGGAATAAGAAGAAAAAAATTATTCCATTATTCTAACTGCTTCATCATTCGACTGCTGATTACGTAATCAGCCTGAACACTCATTTGAGCATAGACTACACGATTTGTGAAGATTTTGAATTAATTTCAACTGTTAGATTTTGATCACGAGTCAACATCTGCAGGTACGTGTTTCGATCCCTGAAGATGGGCTCGTGGGTGCACACTGTTTAGCAAATGTCGTAAAATTCAATGCGCACAGCTGTCCAGTACTCTTGGCCAGTTTTAAAATAATCTCTCTGATTGATGTTAGCTCATGACAAAAGTCTAACAGTTGAAGCTCCATTATTTCTAAATTACTCCTTTATGTTAGAGAACTATTGGAAAACCTGAAAGTACTGGATAGCTGTTTCGTCCTAGTTTGGGACTCTCCAGCAGTACGCACCCACCGGGATTCAAACCAAGGACCTTCTGGTTATAAGGCGAGCTCCTATACTATTGAGCCACTGGGACGCGATCCAATGGCCAGTCGATGAATTCCAACTTCTGCCAATTCACGACATAGCATGACCCCTAGCCAATGTCTTCGGCGAGTATTTTTCCTCACACCCTACCTGCTGCACCCTACTGGGCACGACTCATCACTAGAACCCCAGGTAACTACCTACCTGAATAGGGTCAGTCACCAGTGAGCATCTCATTGTTATTGAAGTATTGGTTTGTAGGAATTTGATTGGTTACAGGATTTCATCCTAAGCTGACATTAGCTGTCCAGTACTCTCAGGATTTCCAATGGTTCTCTAACTGATGTCAGCTCATGATAAAATCCTGTAACCAATCAAATCCCTACAAACCAACACTTGAACTCCTTTATGTTTCCAAATTTGTGCATTATGCAATCCACTTGTTTAATTTTTGTCATTATTTCTACTCTTTAAGTGTTTGTATTAATTCTCTTAGTTCGTTGTCATCTCCTTGACATACTGGTATTAACTAATCATTGTTAACAAACTTATCACCACCACTAGATTGGTAAATTTTTTTCATTTTTGTATTGCGTTAAAAATCCTAATAGTAGTACAGTAGAGTTATTGATGACGATCTAATGGTGAATTATGTACTTCGTCGCCCAATCCTTTTGTCTTCCAAATGTCTTAATGAGGTTTTTTCTATATTGAAGTCTTAATTCCTCAAATAACCTCTGAAGAAATGAACCTTTAACTAGTGTAGGTTGATGATTCAAACATTTTAATGAGTTAATGAATCTACTGAAGATTGAACTGAGGAGTCTGGTGACTACCAAAGATTTGTTGCTTGTATTTTTGACTAGAAACTTAAATTTTTATGTTATGAGTAGACTGAAGATGAGGTGTGTAACTGTTTTTGTTTTTAGGTTTTTTAATTTACAAAGCTACTTTGATTTAGTTTCTAACATTCAACACACAGCAGTAATGCATAGTAGTGCTATATTTCGTAACCTAACCGATCCTTAGACCCTAATCACTAGTATATCACTTTCTTCTCAATAATCGACTTGTGTAGTCAATTAATTCCTAACGAAAGGTCATTCCTGACTTCAATAGCATAAGACTAAAATTTCAAATTATGACATTGAAGTGAAGACGGTTCAGTTTTTTCAGGAAAACTAGATTCCTTCGTAAGGTATTAATCTGTTCCTCAGTGAATGAAGCCAGCAGGCGTAACAGACATGGCCTTCAAATGACTGTATTTAATTTGCTTCCAATTTCTAATCATTACATATATAATTACAGAGGATATATTGATAGAAATGGTTAATCATTCCTGGTTAACCATAATCTATAGCGACCTAAATGAACAGTCCAAGTAAAAAGGACGCAATGACCTTGGCCAATCAATCTATCAGACGATCCCATGGCAAATGCACCTAATTTAAAAAGCTTTTCTGCAGTCTTCAGTGATAGTCCAAACATTTTTACACATATCCATGAATCAATAGTACCTGCATATCTCTGTAAAGATATTACTCCTTCACATCTACAAGCCAAATTATCCTGATACTACTTAAACACATTTCGGGTGGTGCATCTATATTTTGGCGTCTCTACCACGGACTCATCTGACTGGCTGATGAAGGCCACCATAACGCCCGTTCACTTGGGTAGTTATAATTTAATTTAATCGATAGACGATTACATCGCTAATCCAGTAAATGATTTTTACCTTCAGGATGTAATACAATCATGTTTCGACAACACATAAAAACACTAATGACGCATAACCTTTAAATGAATAAAGGATACACTTAAAATAGACGATAAGAGAAAAATAATATTTATTGAGAAATTTATTTTCACATAAAGTTTTCAACTGTCTCAAAAGTTTTTATGAAATAATATATTTCTTTTTCTTTCAGGAATTTTAATAAGTTAAACGAAAGTTTTGATAAATGAAGTATACCACTACGAGTTTTGCTTCAGTATTTGTATTTGTGTGTGTGTGAGTGTGAGTGCATATAACGGGATGCAAATGCAAAACAGTCACTCGATTATTTACCCCATGGTAAATCAATATAAGCGGCACGTTTACGGAACACTCGTCTATCACCTGATAAATTCGGATAGTAATAATGCATTCTTAAAAATTCTTCTGATTCTCTTGTCGGTTCAGTAAAGAATACTTCAGCCCGAGGACTTTGTAACCCAGGGTATGTAACACTTTGTTCATTTGTATTTAATGCTGGTACAGCATTGATAATCAATGTTATCCAAGGTTGAGAGATGAAAAGAGTGATGAGGATAATGAAAGAGAACTTGCTAATTGCGAACATATTGATTATGTAGTTATAAGTTGCACGAATCTGAAAAAAGAAAGATAGAAGTTGACTATTACAAAGGAAAATGGTATAATGTCATATATGATAAGTTTTCTTGATATAATGCATGCACGCAGTGGTAAAGTAACCAGTTATTATTGCTTTCTTATTGTGTCTTATATCAGATATGCTTATCTAATACGGAATTATATTCTACCACAGTGTTCAAATTTTACACCGACATAGAATATTATAATATTCATTAAACAGGAGAATGCTACTGAGGCTTTAATATAGTATACTATTAATATAGTGAATCTGTTAGTATTATTGTTAATCAGGGATTCATTTTACCTAAAGCATGGATATATCGTTCACTTTACTGGTATGGTCTATCGTGTAATGATTCTATCGCTTATTACTCAACCTCTACTTTTGCAGTTTGTTAACTCTTCCATCTTACCTATTGTTCTTTATTGCTGCTCCCCGACCACCTAGCCTTCCCTAGGCTTCTAAAAAAGAACTGTGTAATATTGCAAAGGGTATTAAAGGTTGTTAGTAGGGAAAAGTAGTATGCCCCTAAGTCAGCTCTTTACTACTGTAGTCGATGTATCTTCCTTGACTACACATCCTCTCTTGACTATGTAATCGGATGACTTTTGCTGAATAAGCTCTCCTTGACGCAAACCAAGGCATGGGTTGTCAGAGGGTTAAATTCTCATTTCTCTGAGTGAACGAAGTATACTGTATTTGAAGGTGAATCTTCCTCTGCCCTGCTTACTGTAGTTGGTTTTCCCCAAGGTGCTGTTCTGTCTGTCTTCTTTCTTCTTACATGACTTACCTCTTTCAGAGGGAATCAACATTGGTATATACAATAATGATCTGATTGTCTTCGCAGCAGTTATGCCCCAGTCTGACTGTCTCATGGTGAGCAGCCTTGTGTTGGACAAAAGCCGGTGGTCTAAGGTAAGTGGCTTTAAATTAGAAACCTCCGAAAGCCAGACAGTTAACGTCGCGTTCAGGCATAAAATTGGTCCACACTGACTTTTTCGCTCGCAAGATGCCTGTAGCATCGAGGGAATTGGAATAGACACTAAATCCAGCAAAAAATACCATGAAATAAATCTATCCTCTCACTTTTGATATAAGAATAAAACTTGTGCACTGTGGTAGAGTATAATTCCATTATGGGTAAGTTTTTGTTTTGATAAAGTCTCACAGTGTTATACAGTAATGTTTACTGATGACGTTTCGAGCACAATTTATTGCTCATAATCATATCAAGGTGATCCCATGTCTTGTTGATTTCTGAGAAGATGTCCCATCTAACCCCCTACATAGCAGAGTTAAGACAATCAGGTATTAATCAAACTCTACTTCGACAGTTTGTTAACTCTTGTATCTTACTTATTGGTCTTTATCGCTCCCCCTTAGTCTCTCTTAGACATGTCTCTCTCTCATGATGTGTATTAAGGGTTGTCAGTAGGACAAGTGGCATGCCATTAGGGTCAGCTACCTACTAATGTAGTCTACAGACATTTGAACTCACTTCATGTTGTCTGACTTTAAGCACCCTTTTTACTTCCCCACCCCCCACCTTCCATCTCATCAGACAGGATTATAAGTCATTATAAAAGATTGGTTACCCATGCAACTAAATACAAAAACTCATCGATGCCCTATTTGGTCTGCGTTCTATATGATAGAAAAGAAGTTAAGCGTGAAAATTGTAATTTACTATGTGATTAGCAAGCTAAATGGCTCTTTGATATTTTCGCAATTGTGATTTATGCGGAAACTATTTCATTCACCTTGTCTTTTTAGTTATTAATGTTATTACTATTATTGTCATTTTATACTTTTTGTACATTTCTGAGCTTAGTGTTATTGCTATTAATAATTTCAGTTATCTTTAGCCTGTAATGTTCCTTTGTTCTTGTTGAGTAAATTAGATTCAATATTTTTTTAAATTTGGTTCTCTCCTTTCTTTATCGAGATTCAATATTGTACTGAATGGTGAGAATTACACACTGTATCATAAGTACTGCTTTGGAATCCAGCAAATTATTGTTATTAATGTGAGTGAGTGTCATATTTTTGAGTACATAGAACATCCATAGGATGTTTGAAACATAGAAGGCTGCTCAGATTTCAAAGAGAAATGAGAAGATATGATATAGAAATGCTATGAATCTGTGAGAGTGGAAGCAATCGAATCAGGCTTTCAAAAATGTTAACTGCAAGGTCAATAATCTATTCGAACAGTCAGTCAGACGACAAACTTGAGCACACTCATGGTGAAGCTGCGATAAATTTCATCAACAGCGTCAAAGGTTTATATCAATCTCTTGCAGAATAATGACATCAGGATTCAATTCAAAAGGAAAGAAAGTTACAATTATCCAATGTGACGAGTCTACAAACAACTCAAAACAAGAGAAGAAAGAAGGTTTCTGCACACAGTCATGCACAAAACACCTTGATGAAGATCATGTGAAAAGGGAATGACAGCTTGTGTGAGTAGGCATGGTGCCAGATTAAAAAAAGATATCAGAAAATATAATGAAATAGAGATATTCTAGTGAAGTTTTATATTCCATTTATAATCCATGAGTTGATAATAATAACAAAAATTCTGAACAAGTTATAGGGCGCTTGGCTTCCAGTTATTGTTATATGTAAACAGAGTAGTATTGTCACAATGGAAGACAAGGGCCAGGCAACAGATCATTTATTAAGGAAATCAACACGCATTTATAGATTTTCATTTACATTATTATAGATTATTGTTAGCAGAAAAACAGTCTTGTGATTGGTTGTTTATCACAGAAAGTTAACCTTGCATCTCTTTGTGACTGTCTCTTGAATGTCAGATCATCTATAGGCTAACTGTATGCACCTAAGCGAGTCCTTTCCTCTCATTTTTCTCACAACCAATATTGGGGACATAAACATTGACGTAAATTACTGTCCATCAATTTTGGCTAACAGCCAGCTCTCAACACAGTATAACGGTACTGCCTATATGTACTAGCAAATTATGTCACTCATCACATAAACCCTTACTGGTTCTGTGTTAATTTTATCCATTCTGTGTCTACCTAAACTGAATTGTGGTTAGACATCTCAATGGAAATACGTATTACACAAAAGATTAGCGAATGATATTATTCAATTCAATTTAGATTTACCCGTCAATTGATTGGACAGAAGTGCTTGATCACAGGTTGACATGTCGACTCCTCATGCAGATGCTTCAACGACGTCTGGTCATGTAACTTGAGATTGAGCACTTCCGTCCAATCAATCGATGGGAAACTCTAAAATGAATGAAATAATTAATAAGATCAGTTGAATAAGAGGTGGCTGTCATGGCCCGATAGGCCTATTGAGTAACGCTTTGGTGATTGAGACTATGGGCACTGGGTTTGAGCCTTGGTAGGAACACCATCACTCACTGAGAAATGCGGGTACACACACAAGTGATGAGTCCCAGAAAGGACGGAATGCTCATCCACTAATTAACTTCAAGGTTAGAGAATGCTATCTAAGTTCTACAACTAAACAGTCTAGAAATGTTTTAGAAATTATTTAGAATATCTACGTATCATCAATGAATTAAAAAAACAAAAAACAAATTCATTTACACTTTCTATTTTACAAAATTCTCACTAATAGTAACTTTCAGTCTTCTATCAATCAAATCTAAACTAGGTTTCTTTTATATACACAGTGAACACTTTAGAGACAAATCTAAAACTTGTTCACACCTATACAGTAAGAAGAAAAATTAACATGACAGAATGAAAAAGAAAACTTCACAGGAAAATGGAGAAAAAAAAGTGGAGGAGAAATGGAGTTAGTCATAGACAATATGAGATAAGTTAAACACTTATTGAAATAATTCTATCATTCTTCAGCAATAAAAGTTATCTATCCATATTATAATTAATCTCTCAAGTTTACTTTTCGTTTTACAACAATTCTAAACAGAATACTTACAGTTTCTAGTCTTCGTGTATTGTTACTTAAAGTGTGTCTATGTCTATGAATGTTTTTTTTTCAATTAAAGTGAAAGGCGGGGTAACAAACAATTGTATTCATTCTAAACATTAAAGTTAAGGTGAGGACAAAGGGTATCCGAAGGTACAACACATCTCTGAAACAGCCAAACGTAACATATGATATGATGATTAGTCTACGCAAGTAATACAAAATCAACTAACTACTTGTGAAAAATTCAAATCATAGTTGATCACCTCCGTTCTATCTATGCAAGTATATTGAGATGAAAGCACAGGAAGTTTGATTTGCAAAAACTCATATTCTCGCCTATGTATGAAATACAAAACTAGTTATGTCGTGATCAATAGTTCATATGTGACGAACAGTGTAAGGAATCTCTGTATAGCATATGTAAATGCATATGTAAGTATGCTTGAATAAGTGGAAAAGATTCTTCCGATTCCTCCATTTAGCAAGCATACTGATAAATAAATAGAGAAGTGTAACAGTTGTTAGGCCTTCCCTATGAACCGGCATCATTTAGAGAGGTTACTGAAGATCAGTTGGGATTCCTGGGTAGTTGTTTCATCCTATTTTAAAAATTTTGAGCAGCGTTCAGCTAAGATCCCACAGCTGCGGATTGAATCTGGAACCTTCAAGGTTAAGAGACCAAGCCAATTGACCATTTAGCCACTTTGGCTAGTATTCTAGCTTTGTCATCATCTGATTTGGGCACTACCCTGATCGATGTCTTTGATGAGCATTTCCTTCACCCTGACGTGGTAATCATGACCAGTGGGGTCCATCAAGTCAAGGTCAAGTGGATGCCTATCGAAGGCAGTGATGAGTGCAGAGGTGTCCCACAAATTGACAGAGTTAGAATGCAAGAGTCACTGAATTCCTAAGTAACTGCCTAAATGGTCAGCAAATTCGGTTACGCAACTTGAAGATTCAACGTTCGATCCCTGGTGGGGTCGTTAGTGCGTTTTGACACAGAATCCCATAGATTTGGTCGAATTACTGGGATTTTATTAAATCTA